TTGTGGGAGGTTTCAGCTAGACGATATTCCATGTCCACATGCAATGGCAGTTATACAAAAATTCCATATGGATTCATACAAGTATTGCTCGGATTACTACAACATAGACTACTTGCTGAAAACAAATGAGATACCAGTAAATCTATTGCCTGATGAAACAACGTGGCAAATTCCAGAAGATGTCTCTTCGCAGGTGGTACTGCCACCAAAAGAAAAAATCAAACCAGGAAGACCTAAAAAGAAGAGAGTCATAGGAGGCTGGGAAGGAAATACAGTTACATGTGCACTATGCGGGAGAAAAGGACACAACCGGAGAACATGCCAAAATATTCCAAAGAGAGATTGATATAATGCTTCAATGTTTTTGTAGAACTCATATATCGTAGAATCATAGTATTTGAATTGCAAAAAAATAAAATGCATTTCTTGCACTAGACATATATTTGGTATGATGATTCTTTGAGAAATTACTTTTTGGCAACAAATTTATTTGGCTACTTGTATTTTCAATAAGAATCTATTTATTTTCTATTTTAGTATATAAAAGTGGGATGCATTTACATCTAGTTGTTGCAGGAAAAAAGATGCTAAAATATATATGTGATACCCAAGTGGTATATCTGTATACCTTATTGGTATATCTGTATATCTTATTAGTATAAAAATATGTGCATAAATAGAAGTGGTGCTGCAAATGCAACATTTGTACATACCTTATTAACAAAATGGGCACGCTTTGCAGCTCATGTCTGTATTGAAGTATAACAAATTGGAAGCCATTTGCATGCAGTTATTGTACATCATCAGGTACATTAATACAATGTGATACCCAAATGTTATATTTGTATACCTCGCTGGTATATAGTGGTATTGCACTAATATGGCTAAAATACAGAAATACAAATGGTGCACCGGATACAATGTGATGCCCAAAATGCGCACGCTTTGGAACTCATGTCAGTACTTACATCTAGTTGCTGAAGGAAGAAAGGTGAGTCAAATACAACGTGATACCCAAATGGTATATCAGTATACCTGATTGGTATATAGTTCTACTACACTGATACACCATCTATGCTAAAACTACAGATGAAGATTAAAGCTTAGACCAACATCACATTCGAAAGCAGGTCATTTAACTTCTGTCACAACTACTTTGTATGTTGTTGGAAGTGTTCGCTTCATCTGCCCCTAATTTTCACTTTCAGAATCCATTAAACCTTACCCTCTAGCAAAGGAATGGACCTCGACATCCTAATAAACCAACAAATTTATGGAAAAAGCCTAAGAAAAGCCTAATAAAACAAGCTGAAATCAGAAACAAAATCAGCAAAGTTTCAGCATCAAGAGAGATAACTAAACTGATAACCCCCATGTACTTGAAGAAATCTATACCATATATTCTGAACCAGAATAATTAAATATGACAAAAGAAACATTAGTAGTTGGAAATATTTTATAAAGGCACAAGTTTCCTACAGTCTTGAATCAGCAGAAGGTCATTTACTACTAATAATACCATACTTCACCAAAAACTATTAAAATCCTGCAAAGTTTTCATGATACGATTAACTAAAACCAAAAAGAGACCTATACTACTTCTTGCGTTTCTTTCCACGAGTCTTTTTAGGTGCTACTGGAGCCTCAGATTCACTTGATTCGCCATGCAACTGCTTGTTCCTCCCATAGTGCCACAACAGTATACCAAACCTAGCTCGAAGACCATCCACATCAAAATTGGCAACAGGGATTGGAAGATCTTCAATAATATACTCNACTACTTCTTGCGTTTCTTTCCACGAGTCTTTTTAGGTGCTACTGGAGCCTCAGATTCACTTGATTCGCCATGCAACTGCTTGTTCCTCACATAGTGCCACAACAGTATACCAAACCTAGCTAGAAGACCATCCACATCAAAATTGGCAACAGGGATTAGAAGATCTTCAATAATATACTCAGCAAAGCAAGCAACATATACTCCACAATCTCTGAAATAAA